GCATACAAAAATCGTGGTTAAAAATAATTTTAAACAAAAGTTAGCTAAAGGGCTTAGACTACACATTCAATAAGAAGAGATTAAAATTAGCAATCTGGAAGATTAAAAACCTTGAAATTCCAATATAAAATACAATACAAATAGATATACATACATACACACACACACAGGGACACATATACGTACGCATATATTCATGTGTATGTATTGCAATGAATAAAGCAGTAAATAAAGCAATGAAGTATAAATGAACAAGTAAGTCTCTTTACTAAAATTTATCGTAAGAGTTTTGAGGGGGAAAATACGCTTAACCATAAAAACATATGAGAAATCTTGAAGTTCCCAATCATCCTTTATTATCTTCTAGTATCGTACCCCAAATTTCACTTCTGAAAACTTGGAGGGGGGGGCGACTTCTCAACAGGAAATGCGTAACTCTATCTGGAGTATATCTATAGCTTGCAGGACTGGTTGCTCCTTGTCTGAGACTGACGGTCGTGTTTTTCTTACACCGTGGGGAGGGGGGGGAGAATTATAATTTTACGGTGCTGCCGAATCAGAGTGACAGCAAAGTAAATGTTACTGCACACAAATCCCATTCGCTAGAGGGAAACAAGAAAAGAAAGGAGAAGGTGGAAAGGCTGGTTGGGGAGGAGGGAAAGTTTTCTCACTCTCCTAGATTTTCACCCCTCCCTGACCAAAAATGGTATAGTCCGGAAGCAGGCAAAGTCGGGGTTTCCCCCACGCTGGGAGGCCAGGCTTAAGCTTAGGTTTGCTGCCGCCGCCTCCTCCCACTGTTTTCGCTGTTGCTGTTTCTCCGACAGCCATTTCGCGAGCGCCTGTCGTGAACACCGAGAACTCGGGAAAGCGGCGGGTCCCGTGTGGCCAGGGTGAGGAGGAGTGCCAAGGGGTGCCATGCTTGCGAGTGGCAGGGCTGGGAGCGCTAAGGGTTTCACTAGGGTCAAGTCAAAGTGAAGCTGGAGCTTGCCTAGAGTGGCGCGATTTACTCTTAAAAGGGGAACGGTAAGGCAGGAGCCCTCGAGCACGTTATTTCCGCCCAAGGAGGAAATATTTGGGTTCTTTTCCAAGCGGCTTTGTGTAAGGCTGGAAGGACTCGTGCTAATTTCAGGGCAGCCATTGGATGGCTTGGGGGCGGATGAATTGCAGCTGCGTGGTTTAGCTCTCCTCTCCCCTTCTCAATTTTTACCTTTCTTTTCCCCCCGACATGCGGCTCATCACCTCTTTCCCATTCTCAACTTTACCCAGCCTTCCATTCTCTAGATGAGTTGGGACTCTTCTTCTATCACTTCTAGAAACCCCCTGGTAATCTACCTCCAGTGCAGAAAAGGCTTGCTTCTTTGGAGGTTGGGATATTGGGTCCATCAGCTGAAGGGGTCTAAGGAGAGGCATGGAAGTAAATATTGTCAGGATTAAATGTGCCTAATGAAATGATAAAGACATCTTTTGTACAGATGCCATCCTTGGAACAATGAGATACAAACCAATGGAACACATATATGCAAGAGCCAGAATGTATGAGAGCAAAAATAGCCTCTTTACCTGTACCAAGTACATTTCCCTGGCCCCAAATTAGCTCTGAGTTTTCCAAGACTTGAGAAAGTTTTCCTGTTTTCCAGCTATATTGGTTTTTATTGTAAAAATGACAACGTGCAAAATGCCACTCCTTGGTATAGCTCTTGTTCTCATTAAGGTGAATAAAAATGTTTGGATATAGGTTTTCCCTAGCAATAGAGAAATAATTATACTGGAGATGTAGAAGTGTACACAACTGCTATCCTCTTTACTGAAGCCTTGGCCAAGCCTTTAGCTTATCTTAATACCCTTTCAGCAAAGAGAAAATGGCCTAGTTCCAGTTTTGGGGAAAAGGAAAACCTGAGAAACATTCCCACATGTCCCAATGAGAAATGCTGTTTAGAAAACAATTCTGAAATTAACTTTGTGTGCTCATTTTGTGCTTTTCTAAGCCCAGTCAATGAAATGAAAGGCAATTGATTTGATATATTGACTATTGTTACTTATTTTATGAATGACAAGGTTGAATATAAAATATAATTTCATTGTGCTTATTTAGCAGATATAATGGGATGATTTGTGCTCACAGCACATAGACTAAATTCTACACTCTGCTGGAGTAAAATTCACAAGCTCAAAATGACTCTAAAAAGATATCTTAGAGTTGCCAAAATTACTTCCTGCATTTATTTATGTGATAAATTGTGTAATATTGTTCTGCCACAGGCTGTTCTGAGATAGTAAAGTCATTACTGAACTAGTTCAAAGATTTAAACACTTATTAAAATGAGAAATTATTGAAGGGACACTGTTTTTTTTCTGTTTCATTAATGATTTACATATTTATTTAAGATACTCTGTAGGCTGATCATCTTATATACCAGGGGTGTCAAACTGGCAGATCACAAACTGGATGCATCACACACAGCTCTGCAAATGGGAAAAATGTCACAAAATTTTGTGATGCGACGATTTGACACCCGTGCTATATACCATAAATCTGTGTGACTCACAGTAAAGATAGTGTGTTTGTGTATGAAACAATTTTTAAAAATCCAAAAACCAGCTCCCGGTAGCCTACAACAATAAACAACGATCACTAGGTTTCAGCCAGATCTTATCTCAATGTAGCAAATGTATTCAGTTTTGAATCAATTGGAAAATAAAATTTTCTAAGTTTACTAAACTGTATTTGAATTAAAACAGTTTTTCCAGGTTTTTCTGTCAAACCTTCTTCCATATTGTGAGTAACAGTAACAATATATTATTAAACTTTTCTCTTTTAGGGGCATTATGACTGAAGAGCAATTTGTTAACATTGATTTAAATGATGATAATGTTTGCAGCATATGCAAATTAGGAACAGAAAGAGAGACACTTTCCTTCTGCCACATTTGTTTCGAGCTAAGCATTGAAGGTAAGTGTAATCTAATTTCAGACACCTGGGGGGGGGGATCTAACTTTAACAAACAAAATCTTTCAATTTCCAGATTAGTGATGATAGTACCTTAATAAATGTATTCCTGTTTTGCTAACATCGGTCTTTTCTTTGGAGGGATCACTGAGTAGGAAGATGAGTTTGTTTGTATTCAGAACTTTGATTTTTCAGAGTTATATATCACTTAGTAATCCTCTGTGTAAAAAGGCTCCAATTCATCTATTTATCAATGTTTCTACAAATAAAAATTAAAAAATCACAAAAATGTAACTCATTTATAATAGATTTTCATTAGGATTGTGTGAATTTATAAATATAAACTTACCTTTGAAGCCAGTTTGATTTAATAGTTAAGGCACTGGGCTAGAAGTGAGAAACTTACGTTCTGATCCTGCATTACCTATGGACCTAGTTGGGTAACTTTGGACGAGTCATTCACTCTTAGTTGTAGGAAGAAAGTAATGACGAACCAATCTGAAAACTTTTGCCAAGTAAATTGCAGGACCTATCTGTATATTTACCAGGAATCAGAATGGATTCAAAGACATGGGAGGAGGAACCTAACATTTTCCCATATATAGTTACTTCTGTAATTTTCCCATATTTTCTGTAATTTTCTAATTTGATAACATTGCTTTATCAGTTAGTCAACAATTTCCCCTTAAAATTTAAATATATTTACAATTTTATAAATGCTTACTTTTCTATATCCTAAGTTATGGTTCCTTAGTTTTCTCAATGAAATAATGCTTCTCATGTGTTTTTATGAAGAATTTGCAGGTTTGGAAAAACAGCTACCAATTGTCTTGCAGAAGTGAATAAAAGAGACATTATTTTTATTAATCATCTGGGAGATTAAAATAATGAGACTTTATTCAGAAAACCAGTAACAATTTCAAGCATCATAAGAATTTTGTGACAAATTGTGCTTTGAAAGTAATAAGTTCACTAGAAGAATCCCATACTTTTGTTTTGCTAAACAGGTTGCATGTCACTTCCATTTGTTATCTATGAATAGAGATAATTTTAAGTTTCTGCTTTTTCAAGATTCATAAATTAAAGTATCCCAAGTTTACTATATTACTCACATAAAATAAAGATAAGTAACCACGCAGATACTGTGACTAAGTTACTATGCCAACACTAATAACAGTGCTAAGATAGGTTAATCACAGTACTAAAAAGATACTTACAGAATCCTGTAAGACTGAATAATTGGCGCTCTCTCTCTCTTCAATATTTGTAAAGAATTCATTGAGATTCAGTGAGTGACAGTATTAGATGCTCTTCAGAATATATGTATGTATATAAAGTCATTACTTTATATCCAAATGTACTTAGAATGGTGTTAGTGAATAAATACGTTACTACTCCCTTACACGCTTATGTAAACATTTGTACAAAATTATTATTGGACATTGGTGTTACCAAACTGTAGATTATTTCTTGAGCTGATGTTTGGATTATATTCACATTCAAACTTAGTCAGGGTAACTCATTTGGTAACTCTTGGTCAAACACCACCTTTGTGGGTTTCAATTCAGCCTTCAATTCTCTGGGTTGCTGTAACACTTGTTGGGGGTTTACATTAAGGAAATCCCCATTTAGGTCATTTTTTGCTCTCAAAGAGGTAAGATATAAAACAAATATGAAGTTGAAAAACTATAGTTCTATTATTCGCAAAGCATCCTGGCCACCACAAGATAAAAGATGTAACTCCAATATCCAATGAAAAAAATCTGCATATTCTTTCAAATGAAAAGAATGTTGAAATCTAGTTCTAGTACAGGTAGTCCTCAACTTAACCACAGTTCATTTAGTGACCATTTAAAGTTAAAATGGCACTGGAAAAAAATTGATTTATGACCATTTTTCATACGACCGTTGTAGCATCCCCATGGTCATGTGATCAAAATTCAGATGTTTAGCAACTGACTCATTCATGACAGTTGCATTTTTTGCCTCCCAAAACCCCACCTCCTTCATCAAAATGGCCGTGCATAGCCTTTAGGAGGCTTTCAGAGTGCTCCTGGGGGGTGGGGACGGCAGAAATGAGCAAAATATGGCCTGTTTTTTGCTCAGTTTTACCCCACCCCACCCCCAGGAGCACTCTATAGGCCTCCTAAAAGCTATGCATGCCCCCCCTTTTTTTGACGAAAAACGGGCCCGTTTTTGTGAAAACTGGGTCATTTTTTGCTCCCTCCCCCAGCACTTTACAAGCCTCCTAAAATGCATGTCTTTTTGGGGGGGAAAATGGGGCCATTTTTGGGAGGTCTACAGAGTGCACAAATGTTTTTTAATTTACATCTTCAAAATCTTGGTGTCTCTTATATTCTGAAAAATACGGTATATATATTATTTTCAGCCTATAATTTAGTATTATTCATGGAATTATACTACTTATTTCTTTTTCCCCCCTTTCTTAGGAATACCAAAGTTTGATCTTCTTCATACAAGATCATTAAGGGGACATAGAGACTGCTTTGAGAAATTCCACTTAATAGCAAACCAGAGTTGCCCACAATCAAAATTGTCCAAAAGTACATATGCAGAAGTGAAAAACATTTTGAGCAAAAAAATTAATTGGATTATACAGTATGCACAGAACAAAGATAGGGATTTGGATTCAGGAGGTTCGAAACCAACACAGCATCGGATTTTTAGTTTTAGACATCAAAGAGAGAGAAAGTTACTTCCACAGTTTGATTCCCAAGTCCCTAAATATTCTGCAAAATGGATCAATGAAAGCTCTGGGAGTATTACAAACTGTTCACAGAGTATTCTAGAATCAAGAGAATCCAGTGATTTTAGATTTGACATGTTGCAACAAAGAAGTGCACAATTTTGTTGTAATAATTCATTATGGTCTAGTCATAATCAGTTATCGGAATTGGGAAAAACCAAAAAAGATCCAGATTCTTCTGTACGAAGATTTCCACAATACAGCAGAGAGCAGTGTAAGTGCAAGAAGTAATTTATAAACCCATTTGTATATATAAACTTTGTAGCACTTGGAAAATAAAAATACTAACTTATTATTATTGAAAGAAGTAAATTTTCGGTTGCATACAATCCAGTGATACAGTGTCAACTAGTCCTAGCCTAAAGAAATATGATTTTTAAATTGTGAACACATACTAAATAATATGTTCTCTTTTAATAAAAAAAATACTCAGAGTTCATACTAATTTAAGTCTAGTAAATAAATCTATTAAATTTATGGAACTGTATTTTGTGCTACACTTACCTTCAACAACATAAGCTCCATTAAAGGAGCTCTATTTTGTTTTGATTAAGCATGTATATTTGCAATGATTAAATATACTAGTCCATATATCTACTTCGAGAATATAATGTAAGGCTACTTATAGCAATCCTGGATCAGCTAGGAAGGACTTTAAATTGATGGATTCATCTGGAACCTTCATAAGCAGCCCTACAAGTTTGTTAGAATCAGGGCAAATCTGCTACATGATAATAGTTACTATTTCAAAGTATAAAAATTATTTGGATAAAAGTTGGATGCATCATTTTAAAGAGAATGGTTGAAAAATTGCAAAAGCAGCTTTTCTCTACTTATATATTGCATTGTATTTTAAAAGAGATATTAGTGCTTTTAGTTATTTGATTTATAATTGCAAGAAAGAGAAAAGAATCCCAACACTGACTTAATATAAAGAAATGTATTGATCACTATGTATACATCACTAATATACAAGTAAAAACTATTGGTAATTAATATTTCTGTATGAAAGCATTGTTTTCCATTTATACACACTCATTAACAATTTACTTTGTCTTTACTTCATACCAGTGAATATGATGCCTCTGAGAGAAGTTGAGCAGCTGAATGGGAAACTACTCAAACAAGTCCATGGTGAGATACATTTTAATATTTGCTGATTAATACATTTTTATAAGCCTGTATTTTCCCACTTTATGTCCCTAAAAAGATTTATGCTATGTATGCGCGTGTATATGTACATACACATGCATGCATGCATATTAAATTAAATCTGTAAATCTGTATCTGTCATTGAAAGCAAATCAAACAGTTTCAACTATTTTTTAATAAATGTACTGTATTTTTCAGAGTATAAGACCCACCTTTTTACTCCAAAAAAGAGGGTGAAAATCTGGGTGCGTCTCATACTCCGAATGTAGCCGCCTGGGTCCTCTGGAAAAGGGGCAGGTGAAGCGGGCACTGTAGAAATTGTGATAGCTGGGAAGGAGAGACATTTCGCTTTTGGGGCTCCCCCTTGGCTTCCGCGAGGGCTCAGGCAGTGGCAGTAGCGCCTCACATTGCTGGGGAGTGAAGTCATTGTGGCCATTGTCTCCCCTGAGCTGCCCGCCAAAT